CCTTACATTACAGGCCTACAATAATTATAAACTTTCCCAACAATATTTAATATAAATACCATGTTGCAATACTCAAAAACATGTCCCTGATGTGGAAATCTATTTATCCATCAAATTGACCCACCATTTGTTCACTCTATAAAAGAATTCTAGACTTATCTTACATAGACCTACCTTGGGCCGGTCACTCTCTCTCAGTCCCAGGAAGCAGGCAATGGCAAACCACTTCTGAAATCTTGCCAAGGGAACTGAAGGGAATCGTTATGAGTTATCACTGATCTGAAGGCACAAAATAAATTATGAATAACAAAAGACGTTATAGGCAAACAATTCATATTCAAAGAAAACTATGGTCTTACTTTTTAGTATTTAATCTAACTATTAGGTCAGCAAACTTAGGCACATATACAGGAGGAAGGTGCTTTATACTGAATTAGACCACCTGTCTATCACTGTCACTAAACAGTTTAAGCGCATCGCACTCATGGCAGAAGCACCAAGGTGCTTCTGGGTTGAAAGGATTAGCCAGTGATATCACTGTTGCCCAGGGAATGCCCAGTTCAGGGCTCTTTTCATGTCCCTGGCAGAAGCTAGAATGAAGGACAGGAACTCACCCCATCCCATGCCAGCATTTGGGTCTTGAACACAGAGAACACAGACTTGCTAACTTCCAATCCTGTGTCCTAACCATATGAGCCACTGTGCTCCCAACATTTTAACTGACCTACCAGAGCTATCAGAGACTGCTTTTATATATATAAATATCTGTCTCAATTTATTCAATGATTGGACTTGCTACTTATGAGTGGATAGCCTATAAATGTAGGCTTTGTATAAACAAGTATAATGAATTATGGGAATCATTTATGCAATAGGTTAAAGAAAGACAGTTGCATAAATGCAATAGAAATGTATACAATTTGAATAATATTTGCATTACACACACACACACACACACACACACACACACACATATAATTGTAATTGCTTGCTGTTATAACATGCCATACACTGTCATGAATTAAAAAGCAATACAAACAAATGAATAACATAACGTAACTCTTTCTGTTACTCTTTCTACATCCACACATCCATGTTACAATATTCCATATCCCTTGGCTATTATGAGTTGGGCCTGCCATCAGTCATGACTTTGGTCACCTGAGGTTTTCCCATAATACTATTTAGTCAGATACAGAAAATATAGACTAGATCAGTGGTCGCCAACTGGAGGGCTGTGGCCCACTGGTGGGCCGTGAGAAAATTTTGGTGGGCCGCAGAGAAATCTCACCCCCAGAACACCCCCCACAAAGCAATTAACCCAGGCTGCGCAGAAACACAAGGCTGCGCAGCCCACATGGCCCACGTGAACCCTCCCCGCCCACTCACTCCTTACCTGGCAAACTTGCCTGCTAAATTGCTATTTTTCCTTTTTCCGACCATCATCTGTTCTGCTGTGCCAGGAGATTTACATTATCTAGGAAGCTAACCTAGGAAGCTAGGAAGCAGGAAATGGTTGTCTTTAAATCTTCAGCTCTGCTTTTAAGCACAGCCAAATCTCCCTTAGGACTGAAGGTTCTACTATTCAGTGCAGACTCACGGCAAGTAAATTTGAGAGACTGAGCTAGCTGATGGCAGATAGATAGATCACTGAATGATTTGATGAGCAACTCAATCTGCCTGCCTGCTTTGCCTGATTTGGGGTAAAAGTTGCTCTTTTTTAATAAAACATTCAATATTTACATAAATATTTATAATATTTACATAGAAGCCCTGCCCAGCCAGTCACATGACCACCAAGCCACACCCACAAATTAGGCCACACCCACAGAACCAGTTAATGGTCCCTGGGATTTAAAATTATGAGTTTGGTGGTCCCTGAGGTCCAAAAGGTTGGCGACCCCTGGACTAGATCGTAGTTTTAGCTGTCTCCAGGCCGCATGCGAGGGTGGGGGGGGGGGAGGGGGGGGGGGGGGGGGACAGAGAGAGGGGAAGAGAGAGAGGGAGAGAGAAAGAGAGAGACTGAAGTCACAACAACAGTTACCCAAAGTTTTTGAATCCAACTAAAAATGCGGGTTTGAACCATAAAGCATATCATGGCTTGGTCCATAGCAATTTATCTCCTTTAAATAATTTTTGCTTCCAGGGAGAGGATGGCTAAATTCACATCCCTGAGAGAAATCAAAGAGATGTAGATGCTTCATTGCTGGAGGTTTTCAAGAAATGATTGGATAGTCATTTGTCCAGAAGGGTATAGGGGTCTCCTGGTGAAGCAGAGAGTTGGATTAGAAGACCTCTAAAGTCCCTTCCAATTCTATTATTCTCTGTTTATTTTTTATTTATTTTATTTGTTTATTTGATTTGTCAATCACTTACAAGATATATAAGTATAAACATGAGTAAGAATACAGGAAATAGGTACAGATAAATGGGGGACAATAGGACAGGGACGGTAGGCACGATTGTGCACTTATGCACGCCCCATACAGACCCCTTAGGAATGGGGTGAGGTCAGTAGTGGATACTTTAAGGTTAAAGGAGTGGGGGTTAGAGGATGTAACAACAGAATCAGGTAGTGCATCCCAGGCATTGACCACTCTGTTGCTGAAATCATACTTTCTGCAATCAAGTTTGGAGCAGTTAACACTGAGTTTGTATCTGTTGTGTCCTCTTGTACTGTTGCAGTTGACGCTGAAGTAGTCATTGACTGTTCCATGTCCCTGGAGACAATCCTTCTTTGTGGTGGCCCCAACCTTATGGACTATTTTCCACAGAAGCCAATTTCAAAAACGCAGAGTCCTATGGGTTGAAATGTTTATCCAACATACAATATAATATCCCTTACAGATGGTAGACCTCAGTGGGCCTACGTAGATCAGAGTCATGCAAAACTGCCTAAAGCTGATTACGAAGAGCCGATGTCCTCCAGTACAGAAGGTTCTTCTGAAGGAAACGTATGTTTTTGAATTTCAAAAGTGCTTTGGGGCCTTGGGAGGGCAAAAAAATCCACCCATCCTTCAGTCAAGACATCCAACTGCATGAAAGCCAGGTCAAATGTTACATCTTCCCCCACCACACACCCCTCAGCAAACCTTAAATGTTATACGGCTTCAGAATCAGTAGCATCATTACATCCCAGCTCATTGTAAATGCCTCGGCTATACAAACAGGAAGACGAATGGTTACTCAGGCAAACTTGAGCCCACAATGGGAAAGGTGCAGAGGAAAAACATTATAACAGCCTCCCTTTGAAAGAACCTGACAGTTGATAGATGAGTATCCATAAAACCCACAAAGGCTGCCTGTGTAAAGCTCCTACTGCCGCCCCATTCTCCCTGGGAAACTATTTACCTTAATCTAGGAGAGAAAATATTATTTTCAGGGCAATTATGTTCCCTACTTTAAATGGGAAAGGGATCATTAAAAAGCTTTCTTTGTCTGATTTCCCTTCTGCTGAAAAATACAAACTGAAGCCTGTCTTCCTTCAAACGATTTCACCGAATACATTTCCCAGAAATGTGGGTTTTTGGGAAGAGGGGTGGGGGGAGGGGGAGAGGGATAGCTGTGTCCGTCTGTTGCCCGTAGTGCTGGGAAGTTTATTGATACTTACAGTGAGTGTTTGGGACGGGGATACATTGGAGTCTTGTCAGTCCCTTTGTGAAAGTATAGGCATTTACAGTGGGTGCAGGGATCAGCTACTGCCGGCGAACAGATGCGCAACTGATGGGATGACACAACTCAGCCT